GGTGGTTTATTGGAGATAGGAGTCTCACGGTCTCTCCTGCCCGGGCTGGCTTTGAACCGCGACCCTCAGATCTCAGCCTCCTGAGTAGCTAGGATTACAGGCGTGAGCCACCAGCGCCCGGCTATTGTTCCTGAGCTTTTGTGATCAAGGCTAGCACTCTACCAATTGAGCCACAGCTCCACTTCTGGCTTTTGGTTATTCATTGGAGATAAGAGTTGCACAGATGTTCCTGCTCAGGCTGGCTTTGAACCTCGATCCTCGGATCTCAGCTTCCTAAGTAGCTAGGATGACAGGTGTGAGCCACTGGCCCCTGGCTTGTTGTCTTATTAGCCTCAGAACAGCCTTACAAGGCATGTCTCAGATTGCCTATGGAAAGTGAATGAATGGTGAGGAGCTGGAGTGTGCAGGAATGTCACCTCTTGTAGCAACTGACATGCCAGCCTTTCTGTATTTCAGTCCCTCAGCCCGTACACCTGCCTGCCACCTCTTAGGGAGACACCCCAGCCTCTCAACCCCCACAGATCGCATCCTGATTCATCAGCAGACCTGCTGTCTGCCCTGAGCCAAGAGGAGCAGGACCTCATTGCGCCAGTGGTCGCCCTGGGTTACCCCCTGGGAAGGGCCATCGTGGCTCTGCAAAAGACAGGGAGACAAAGCCTGAGCCAGGTGAGTGGCCACATGGTTTTCAATCTAGAAGTTCTGTTTCCTTCTTTAGAAACAGAACCTCAGCCTGGTATTCATTGTTGGGGGTAGGGGTAAGCAGGTTTTTAGCCCCTATTGCTCTGCTACTACCTCCATAGGAGTTCATCGTAATCCTCAGGCACCCTTGGAAGGTCTCAATATTATATCCAAATTCAAGAGCTGGAGCTTTGTATAGTCAAGAATCTCTCCAGTACTGTCCAGTAGCACATTCTCTAATGACAAGGATTTTTGTTCCTTATGTTTTCTTTGTATTGCTGTTCTGTTTTGTTTAGTTGTTTTTTTGTTTTGTTTTGTTTTGTGCCAATCCTGAGGCTTGAACTTGGGCACTGTCCCTGAGCTTTTTTGCTCAAGGATAGTGCTCTACCACTTGAGCCACAGCTCCATTTCTGTTTTTTTTGTGTGTGTGCTTAATTGGAGGTAAAAGTCTCATGGACTTTGCTGCCCAGGCCATCATCAAACCATGATCCTTAGATCTCAGCCTCCTGAATAGTTAAGATTTACAAACGTGAGCCACTGATACCTGGCTTGATTTTTTTTTTGGGGGGGGGTCCGGTCATGGGGCCTGAACTCTGGGCCTGGACACTGTCCCTCAGCTCTTCAGCTCAAGGCTAGTGCTCTACCATTTGAGCCCCAGCATCACTTCTGGCTTTTTCTGCCTATGTGGTGCTGAGGAATCGAACCCAGGGCCTCAGGCTTGCAAGGCAAGCGCTCTACCACTGAGCCACCTTCCCAGCCCCTGGCTTGATTTTTTGTGATGGTGCTGAGACTTAACTCAGGGCCTGGGGCTCTGGTTCATCTTTTTCTCTCATGTTGGTGCTCTTCCACTTGAGCCACACCTCCACTCTGGCTTTTTGCTGGTTAATTGGAGATAAAAGTCTGGAGGACTTGTCTGTCCTTGCCTATTTATTCAAAGCTGCTACTCTACCACTTTGAGTCACAGCTCCACTTCCTGTTTTCTGGTGGTCAGTTTCACAGACTTTCCTGTCTGGGCTAGTTTTGAACCAGGATCATCAGATATCAACCTTCTGATTAGCTAGAGTTACAGGTGTGAGCTACCGGTGCCTAGTACTTTTTAAAGTTGTTTGCTTATTTGTTTGTGCTAGTATTAGGGCTTAAACTCAGTGCTTGGGCGCTGTCCTTTAGCTTTTTTACTCAAGGCTGCTGCTCTACCACTTGAGCCATAGCTCCAATTCTGGGTTTTTGCTGTTAAATTGGAGATAAGAGTCTCATGGACTTACCTGCCTCAGCTGACTTGGAACTGTGATTCTCAGATCTCAGCCTTCTTAGTAGTTAGGAATTCAGGTGTGAGCCACTGGAACCAGCAGAAGTTTACTATTATTAGTGTCTCCTGATGCACAGGATGACATACAAAGGGTAGTCTTCCATGTTGCTCTAATATTTGGAACTAGGTCTGTCTTGAACCCCAGTATAGGCTATGAGAGGAGGGGAATGAGGAATCTCAAAGTGCCTAAAACAGCTGCTGAAAACAGTATGCCTGGGGCAGGAGGGTACAGATGCTATAGGGGTGTTAAATTTGTTGCTATGTAACACATCACCTCAAAACTTAGTGGCCTAACACCACCACATATTTGCTCATGATTCTGTGGGTTAGAAGTTTGGGACTGGACGTAGCTGGGTGGTTCTTCTACCTCCCCCACCCCCCAGGTGCTCATATGGTGACTTAATGTGGGCAGAATAGACTAAGATGGCCTTAGCCCACAATCGATCTTAAAGAGGAGACAGATAGACTCTATCTCTAGAGGATTGAAAAGAATTTATGGCCCATCTATTACAAGGAGACTCCAGTGATTGGGAAGTGGTAGGCATTCGCTGGACAAGGCCGGAGGAGACTGGACTTTGAAGTTTGAGAAGGGATGATATTCCAGGCAAGAAAGAAGAATGGGGGCCAAGTGCTGATGACTCATCCCTGTAATCCTAGCTTCTCAGCAGTCTGAGAGCTGAGGATTATGGTTTGACGCTAGCCGAGACAAGAAAGAACATGAGGTTCTTATCTCCAATGAACCAACAAAAAGCTGGAAGTGGAGGTATGGTCAAGTGAAGAGAGCACCAGCCTTGAATGAAAAAGCTAAGAGACAGTGCCCAGCCTCTGATTCAAGCCCCAGGACTGGCACCAAAAAAAAAAGTGCTCATATCGAGTCTAGGCATCCTGGAAGTAACTCCAGCAGGAAGTAACTCTATCCTGGAAGTAACTCCAAGCTCCCATGGTGCCAGTCATCTCTGATCTTAGCTTGCCTTTGCCAAGAGCTACAACAGCTTGACAATCACTAGACTAGACAATCTGCACTTTCCACCCTATTCTGCAGGGCGCAGAAACACAGCCTGAGTCTTCTATTCAGATACCCATAGTTCTCCTGGCCTAGAGCTTCATTTGACACCTATCCCCTATAAATCCTGCTTTGATTTGCTTGGCACTGTTGTAATTCCGTATCTGGTTAATCTCTTCCTGCTAAGCTGTGAGTTCCATGAAGGTAGTTCTAAATTCATCTTATAAACACAGCTTGTATTTACTGGGCTCCTTCTGCCTGCCATGCTGCTGGGCTGGGCACACAGTGGTGAGCTAGACTGCTTATGGAGCAAAAAGCCAGCATCTGAGAAAGACCAAGGACCAATGAGTACTTGCTCTGGGGAATCCAGGGACCAGGGCACCAGGATATCAGTAAAGAGCAAGGTGGATGGGCTTCTGGGAGGGGAACAAGCTGAGCTTGGTTGAGAAACTGCACAGGCAGAGGCCTGACAAATGAGGAAGCAGTTGGAGCTGCGTAGTGGACAGAGCACAACTTTGAGCCCTAGCCAGAAGGCTGTACTTTATTCTGGAGGTAAAGGGAGCTTCTGGCATCTGGCAAATGACTTATAGGGTCTCTGTCACCTGCCTTCCCCAGCCCTGGTACAAGACCATTGCCTGGATGCTACATGTGGATGATGAGGGTGGACTGGGGGGCATGGGTAGGGATGGGTAAGGGTGCTCCTGTCCTAGTGGGTGCTCACAGGGAGGGTGGGGTGATCAGGCAGGGGGTAGCTGGTGACTTGCCTGTTAGAAGTCTAGGTTACTCCCCCAGAGAGTTTCTGCACACCCCTTAGCCCATCTACAGCCCTTGTCTTGAATTCCAGCCCCCTCATGGTCCCTTCTTCCCAGGTCCTCAGAGGAGGTATCTGGTCCTGTTATCTTGGAACTTCTGGGGTCCCACTGCATATAGGGGAAAGGAGTGTTCTCAGTCCACCCAGCCCTGAGCTCAGGCCCTGGGGTGCTTTCTCACCCACTCTGCCAGCCCTGTGGCTCCTACCACCCTTCCTCTCTCCTTCTTATCCAGTTTCTCGGCTACCTCAGTGCCCAGGAAAGGCTGCTGCGGCAGGGCTACCAGGAGGCCCTGGTCGATGAGGCCTTGGAACTGTTCCAGTTCTCTGAGAGCCAGGTGAGCTACAGCCTCTGCCTGGGCCACAGGGGATGGGAGGGAGGAAGGTGTACCCATCACTTTCCCCTGAGCAGCCTGTGGGCCAGACAGCTGGGCCCCTTGCCCAGGGAGACGTGGCTGAAGAGACAGGAGTGGTGGGGACACATGTGGAGATAGAACAGGGGCTTAGTTTAATTTAAAGGTCTCAGTGCAAGGCTGGGAAGGTGGCTCAGTGGTAGAGTGCTTGCCTGGCATGCATGAGGCCCTGGGTTCGATTCCTCAGCACCACATAAGCAGAAAAAAGCCAGAAATGGTACTGTGGCTCTTTCTAGTTAGGATTCCTGTAACAGCTGGTATGATAAGTACATCCCACCATGTCCAGCCTTTCCTGCTGAGATAAGAGTGTTGTAAACATTTTTCCCAGGCTAGCTTGGAAACATAATCCTCCAGATTTTAGCTTCCCAAGTGGCTAAAATGGCAAGCACAAGCAACTGAACACCAGCCAATATGGATTTTTCTTGTTGTTGTTGTTTTTTTTTGTCAGTTGTAGGGCTTGAACTCAGGGCCTGGGCTCTGTCCCTGAGCTTCTTTTGCTCAAAGCTAGTGCTCTACTCCTTGAGCCATAGCTCCACTTCCAGATGTGTGGTGTGGGGGGGGGGGGTTAATTAGAGATAAGAGTCTCATGGATGTTTCTGCCTGGGCTTTGAACTGCACTCTTCAGATCTCAGCCTCCTAAGCAGCTAGAATAACAGGCATTCACCTGGCTCGAATATGTAGTATTCTTTTTTTTTTTAAGTGTTAAATATTCTTTATTTGACATTTATACATAAGCCACACTAAAATGCCTTTCAATAAGTAAAAGGCAGATTTCAGAGACAGGGAATTTTAATTAAATTGGCATAGTCAAGACCAAAAATAGACATTGTTCCTCATCTTCAGCCATTGCCTTTAACAGGTTAGCTTTGCTTGATTCTGAAACAGTAAAGGGATTTCCTCGGTATTTAATGATGTTCTCATCATTCGCCATATAAATCTGAAAATAAAACCAATCCCAACATATTTGGAGATGGTATTATTCCCTACCTTGCTGAACATTAGTAAGTCCAATCATATGACAGAAAGGGGGGGGGGGAAGTGACTGTATTTTTTTAAAGATATATTCACTTAACCACAAGCCAGTTTTACTTAAATCAGGGCTGTCCAAAAATATTCTGCCAGCCATTCATGATCTGAAATCTGATATTAGAAATCAATTGAATTATGGTACACATGAAAAAGCCATGAGACATTTATTTTGCAATAAATAACTAAGGCAGTGACTATTACTCTTCTTCTTAATACCAGTGAAGATCATTTTTGTTCCAGGGATGTACTTTTTGGGGTTCTCCAAATACTCCATCAGTGTATCCTCTCTCCAGGTGATGCCTTTGTTCTTGTTGGCCTCTGTGTAAATGAATCCAGCTGTTTGACCAATCTTCCGACCAAACAGACCATGGGGATTAGGCCCAATCTTGTGCTTGCCTCCGTTTTCAATGGTGTGGCATGGGACACACTTCTGAACAAAAATCTTGCCTTTCTCAACATCACCCATTTTCAATTCGCTCTTTCCTTACTATCACAAGAGGGATAACAGCTCTGAAGCCAGATGTCCCGTGCTCTCTGTAGTATTCTTTTTATTTTTTGGTCGTGGTACTTGAACTCACGGCTGTCTCTGAGCCTCTTTATGCTCAAGAGCTAGTGCTCTATCACATAAGCCACAGTGCCACTTCTGGTTTTTGAGTGGTTCATTGGAGATAAGAGTCTCACGCAGACATTTCTGCCTGGGATGGCTTTGAACCATGATTCTCAGATCTCAGCCTTCTGAGTAGCTACGATTAGCCACTGTCACCCAGATCCAACATTCTTGGAAGCACACTCCTAGGAGCCGTACAGAGATGCACAAACCCGAGAATGTACTGCCTACACAAAATGCAGGCAGCAGCAAGCCCTACCGAAAACCCTCTGTGCCCAGGGAATACCATTTGCCCACAGCCAGAAGAGCAGCAATTGGTAGAGACTGTGGGATGGAGCTGGGTGCTGAGGAGCAGAAGGAGGAGCAGGTACAGTTTCTGGCCAGGAGTCAGTGGAGGAGGGAAAAACCTGGCTGTCAGGACATGGCCAGCACCCCTGGGCTCTGGCTGTGTGTGTTTCTGATGTCAGTGGCAGCCTTCCTCATCCTGCCTCAGCACCCAAACACAGGGAATAAGCAGGAGCATGCAGGTAAAGCCAGCTTGGGGGCCTAAGCAGAGTAAGAGAGGGGTCGGAACATGGCGGGTACTACCCAGGATCAGGCTCACCTGTCCTGAGGGGCCCATGGCTCTCTGGGACAGAGTGAATCCACTGGGCCTAGGGAGGGAGCTCCCAGCACCCTCTCTGCCTCTTCTTCCATAGGCAGGGGAGTTCTTGCGCCTCTGGGAACAGTTCAGTGACATGGGCTTCCAGCAGCAGCGGATCAAGGAAGTGCTTCTGGTCCATGGTAACCGTCGTGAGCAAGCGCTGGAGGAGCTGGTAGCCTGTGCTCAGTGACCGATGAGGAATCTGCAATGCACTGGGCCACCAGGCCAGTGCCAGACCTGGCAGTCCATCCTGGTATTAATTCAAACCAAACAAGACTAGTGAAGCAGTGCATGCTGGGAAGTGGGGAACGTGTATACCAACCAACTCAGCTGGAAGAGTTGAAGGCATTGCCTTGGGTCTGGCAAGAACGGTGCATTTTCATACAAGCCTAGAAAAGCACCTGCAGCTGACTCTTGAAACGGTGTGCATTCATCATTTTGATTCTGAGAAAAGTAAATAAACGGTGGGAAGTTCTTCTCTTTTAACTCCTACAGGCTTTTGGTCTTGGTGTAGAAAGGGTCAGATGCCCTGAGTTCTGAGTTGGGTTCTGTTAAATGTCTGACTCAAGGCCTCATTGAACTTCAGTTTTCCATGGAAGTAGAAAGATTTGACTGGGAGTGGTGATTTATGCCTATAATCCCAGTTACACCAGGAGGTAGAGATCAGGAGTTTGAGTCCAGCCTAGACAAAAAGCTAGTAAAGAAAAGGGGTGGAGGGAGGGAGAGGAGGGAAGGGAAAGGTCCGGAGGGAAAAGGAGAATGACTACTTGCCATAAGTATTTCTGGGGAGTCCCGATGTTCTGACTATGTGGCAGCCTTCTGGAAGCTTGATATTGGTGTGTGTGTGTGTTGTTGTTGTTGTTTGTTTGTTTGTTTTGTGCTTGTCCTAGAGCTTGAACTCAGAGCCTGGGCACCATTCTTGGCCTTTTTTTTTTCTCTTGCCAATCATGACACTTGAACTTAGGGCCTGGGTGCTGTCCCTGACCTCTTTTGCTCAAGGCTAGTGCTCTACCACTTTTTTAGCCACAGCTCCACTTCCTGTTTTCTGGAGGTTCATTGGAGCAAAGAGTTTCACAGACTTTCCTGCTGGGACTGGCTTTGAACTATGATGGATTTCAGCCTGTTGAGTAGCTAGGATTACAGGTGTGAACCACTGGTGCCCAGCTTTTGTTTTGTTTTTTGACATAGGTTTTACTATGTTGCCCAGGCTAGCCTCAAACTTGTAAGCTCACAGGATCCTCCTGCCTCAGCTTCCCAAACATCTGGTACCACAGGGGCCACTTGCCTCTGAGCCCAGCTTTGTTCTATGTAAGAAGCTCACTGGAGATTTGTGTATGAGAGAGAGTGGGGGGTGCACTGGGACTTCAACTCAGGGCCTCATGTTCTGGCTTGGCTCTTTCATCCAAGGTTGATGGTCTACCACTTGAACCACAGCTCTACTTCTGACTTTGGAGTGGGTGAATTGGAGATAAGAATCTCACAAACTTTTCTGCCTGGGCTGGCTTTGAACCATGATCTTCAGATCCCAGCCTCATGAGTAGCTAGAATTAACAGGCATGAACCAGCAGCAGCCATTTTTTTCTGGAGATTCTTTACAGTGCAGTGGGCCCATGACCATTGTGTGTGACCCTCCAGACCAGCCAGAGCAGACAATATAGCATCCTAGGTCCATCTTTCCTCATTTGTGGAGTGAGGAAGTTGGGACCGGCCTTATCCTCAGTTACCCCAGGCCTGTGTCCTTTAGAGGCCCCCATCAGTTGAGAGGGCCAGTTGTTGGAATGGTCCAGGACTCAGGTGATCAGAGGTTGGAGGCTAAGTTACTGGTGGTTCTGCCCTTTCCAGCAGCCAATACAGTCATGAGAGTCCAAACCTCTCAGTCCCCCCCCCCACACTCCCCCCACCACCACACACACACAAGAAATACCCCCAGGACTGGACCTTTGAATAGCCAACACCTAACAAAAGCATCTGCATTTCTCAAGGCTTCCACCTCAGATAGCTTGTTTGAATGTGTAACTGGGATTCTTCCTGGCCAACTTGACAAGTTTGGAACTAGAGCCCCGCTCTCCTGAGTCCTTCCAGTTCCTAGGTGCTTGCCATCAAGCCTGAATGCCCGCCAGCTTGAAATGGCAGCACAAATATTCTTTGGCCTTCAAACTTGCTTTGAGTAACTTGTAGGCAATGTAAAACCATTTGGGGAAAATTGGCAAGATGACACAAAGTTGGCCATGTGCTTGCTGCCAAAGTCAAAACTATTCTTGCTTTCATTATTTTTTTTTTCAGACAGAGTCTCCTATTCCTGACTAGCCTTTGACTATAATCCTTCTACCCACATGCTCCCAAGTAGCAGGGATCACAGACACATATCATGATGCTTGGCTTTTTGGTTCAGATAGAGTCCCACTATCTTTTTATCCAGGCTGGCTTGGAACTGTGACCCTCCTGATCGCTGCCTTCCTAAATAGCTGAAATTACAGGTAAGAGCCACCGCATCGAACTACTTGAGCATCTCTCTGCCTCTGCGTAAGATGCATTTTGAGTAGGGCTTAGCACTTCAGGGAATAGTCTTTCCTAATAATAACTGGGCAAGGCTTCCAGCCTCTCCTCGTCCCAGAGGTAGCTCTTTGTTCCTACACATGCTGGGGTCAGAAAAGCCCTGAGCCATTAAGACTTTCCCAGAAACATTGACATTTCCCCCCTTCTCTCTGTCTCTGTCTCTCTCTCTTTCTGTCTCTCTCTCTGTCTCTAGCTGTCATCCTGCTGTCTCTCTTGTTCTGTGTGTCTCCTTTCTTTCTTTTTTTTTTTTGTTTGTTTGTGTGGTGCTGAGGAATCAAACCCAGGGCCTCTGCCTGCTAGACAAACACTTTACCACTGAGCCACCTTCCCAGCCCCTCCTGTCTTTCTTATACACACACACACACACACACACACATACTCACTCACACACACCTTGGAGGGAATCACATTCTGCCACAGACTATACTTGGAGGAGGTTTGGGGCATGTCTTCATGTTGGTATAAAGTTATTCCTGAGAAGGAAGACTGGTCACTTATCTCTCCTCACAGCTGGCCCACTCAGCTAGCTACCAGGTCCCATTGTAAGCCCCTTCTCAGCCTTGCATTGGTCCCTCTGAGAAGATGCCACCCTGGCTCTGGGAGCTACACCCAATTAAGGAGCCAAAACAGACACTAAACAACCATTCATTCCCCGGTACCTTTCCTTCATGAGCCTTTGCTCATTTGTATGTGTGTGTGTGTGTGTGTGTGTGTGTGTGTGTGTGTGTGTGTCTTTGTGTGTATGGCTTGAACTCAGAGCCTGCACACTGTCCCTGAGCTTCTTTTGCTCAAGGCTACTGCTCTACTACTTGAGCCACAGCTCCACTTCCAGCTCTTTTGGAAGTAGTTTATTGGAGATAAGAGTCTCAGGGACTTTTGTACCCAGGCTGCCTTTGAACCGTGATCCTCAGATCTTAGCCTCCTGAGTAGTTAGGATTACAAGAAGGAGCTACTAGCACCTAGCTTCCTTGACCTATTTATCATCAGCAGACTTGATGGGCACAGGGGTAAGGGAGTTGGAGCAAAAATCGGAAATGGTACCTGGTGCTGGTGGCTCATGCCTGTAATCCTAGCTAACTAGGAGGCTGAGATCTGATGATCATGGTTCAAAGCCAGCCCAGGCAGAAAAGTTCATAAGACTTTTATCTCCACTTAATCACAGTAAAAGCTAGAAGTGGATCTGTGGCTCAAGTGGTTGAGCACTAGCCTTGATCAAAAAAGCAGCTCAGGGACAGGGCACAGGCCCAGAGATCAAGTGTCCCCCCCCCCCCAAAAAAAAAAAAAAAAAAAGGAAATGGCCTCTCCATTGGGGCCTCTCCAATGGCCTCCAGGGGGGCAGCACTGTGCTGGGGGGCATGGAAGAGAACCCAGGGCACGCAAGCTTCAGGTCACAAGGTGCCCTGGAGATTGCATTTGTCATCAGGCGCTGGGAAGCAGGGTTCTAGGCAGGCATTCCTGCTGCTCCACACACAGCTAGCAGTGGGCACCACCTCAGCCTCCTGACAGCGGCTCCTCCCTCTTGTCATGTCTCTTCCTTAACCTGTCCTTATAAGGCCACCAGCTCAGGAGACTGGCACTCTGTCCTCTGGGCAGCTGTCCACGCAACGTCATCTGTTGGTTCACTGCTCAAGATTTTTAACCTCTGATTTTATTGATTTATTTATTTGGTTGTTAAGAACATGTCTCCAGGTTGAACTGAGAGCCAGGGACTCAGGACAGGCCGGTCCTGGGACCTAGCTAAACCTTACATCCCTTACTTCCAGCAGCCAAAGGATTTCAAGACGGTCAGCAGCCCCAGTGTGCTTGGGGGGGGGTGTCCTTCCCCCTCTCATGGCCTCTTAGTGTGCTCTCTCAAGGTGCCCTGTCCTCTGGTGACCAGGATAGGCACTTGTCACCTCCGGGCTAGTGGATTCTGGCTTACACCATTGGAACTTTATGTCTTCAGGAGCCCTCAGCCTGGCGCCAGTGACTCTCGCCTGAATCCTAACTGCTCAGGAGACTGAGACCTGAGGATCATCACTGGGAGCCAACCCAGGCAGGAAGTCTGTGAAACTCTCTATTTCCAATGAACCACCAAAAAGCTGGAAGTGGAACTGCAGCTCAAGTGATAGAGTGACAGCCTTGAGCTAAAAATCTCAGAGTTAGCACCCAGGCCCTGATTCAAGCCCCAGGATAGGCACCAAAAAAAAAAAAAAAGTTTGCCAAATAGAAAAAAATGTAGGAAAAGAAAGAGACCCGGGCTCAGTGCTGGTGGCTCACACCTGTGATCCTAGCTACTCAGGAGGCTGAGATCTGAGGATCATGGTTCAAAGCCAGCCCAGGCAGGAGAATCTGTGATTAACCACCAGAAAACTGGAAGTGGCTCTGTGGCTCAAATGGTAGAGTGTTTGCTTTAAACCGAAAAGCTCAGGGACAGTGCCCAGGTCCAGAGTTCAAGCCCCATGACTGACAAAAAAGAAGAGGAAGAAGAAGAAGGATGGAGGAGGAGGAGGAGGAAGAGGAGGAGGAGGAGGGAGAAGGGAAGACAAGGGGAAGGGAAGGGGGAGGCAAGGGGAGGGAAGGAGAGGATCCTAGGGAAGTCACCCCTCCAGTCCCTCCAGTGAGTGGGAGCCTGCTTTCCATATAGCTTTCAGTAAGTGACAACTAGGGAAGGACCCTCTGCCCTGGCTGACTAGGAGCGCTGGGCTCTTGAGATGATACCACCAGGGAGATGAAATTAGAGAACAAAGGCTGGCACGCACATAGTAGCCAGTACTCCACGTCTGGGGGCCAGGTGACTGGGGTTGGGGGAAAAAGATAGGGTGAATTTGAAGTATATGTGCATATATGATATATATATATATATATCCTATATAGGATATATAGGATATGTATGTGTATATAATATATATATATATACATAT